GAAATTCATCTTCAATAGTTTAAAAAAGAATCACTGAAATGACAGCTCCTCCCCCTTATTTTAACTGGCAGCACAAACATGGCAGCCTGTCAGCCTCTAACAACCAGCAGGTGATCTTTTAGGAAGAATCACTTTACAGTGCAAGCAGCTAGCAAGGTCAGTGAGGGTTTGTTTTATAGCTCTTTTATTAAGAGTATGTAAACGCTTTAATGACTATAGTCTGGGCACTGGTGCACTTTAACACAGAACAATGTTCCCAGAGCGCTATGGGTTTTTTCTAAGAGAACACAGCAAAGGTTCTTTGACAGTATGCCTCTTTAAGACCCCGTTCACATGTAGCGACATACCTTTGCAGCGGCCGGGATAACGCGACTTTCGGGGCATCGTTCCAGCGACGGTAGCGCGACCTTCTCCGTCGGGCTCCATAGGAAAAAAGCAAAATCGAGCAAAATACGCCGAAAAAAGGGTCCGGTAGAAGCGACTTGCGACGCGCGACATGGCGTTAAGACAGCTCCATTGAATAGCATTGGCCGGCGACTTCTCGCGATATCGCGTGGCAAAAATGCGCAAAATCGCGCGATACGTCGCTACATGTGAACGGGGCCTAAGATGTATGAGTTATTATAACAACGCTACTTATTTTATCTAATGATTGTTTCTAAAAAATTTGCAATTCACAAACAAATATTGCAGAGATGTGTAATCTTTATTCTTCCACATGAACTGAACGTTTATCTGCTAAAAACCTAATTTTCTCATAAATTATTTGATCTGGTGAAATCTTATTTCGTAACTACCCCAACTGTCTCCTTTTAATGCTCTCCTCTGCTAAAAGCTATTGAAACTTCCAGTTATAGGAACCCTGAAGCTGGAGTTATTTTAAGGGTGATAACCTGTGTGGTAATCTTTGTTAATTTACTTTTATATTGTTTTTTTTATAATAGTGGATAAAATGACACTGACAGCATTATTATAGCACTAGTGGTGGTAAAATGCCACTAATTACAAAGCAGATGAAATAAAGCCTGTTATGCATTGAGATTTAAAAGGTATGGGGCAGATAAGGTGTATTATCAAGGAAATAACAGCAAAAGAAGACACAAAAAAACTACTTTCTGAATTGTGTATAATGCCCAATATATAGATTCATACATTTTAAACTATTAATATATCCTAAAACGTTTTGAAAGCAGTGACAATGACCAAATTAGCACCAGCAGACGGGCATTTGGTTGATGGGGTCATAAATTCTTTGCATAGCTCTGCCCACTGTGTTCCCTATTTATAACAGCTATTTCACAGGAACAATGGTGTAGCCCAAAACAACTAATTAGGCGTTTGCTTTTACTTCCCAACAAACTGGTATACACTTAGGAAATTCCACTGTCTGTGATGTCTCACCTTACTATAGGAGTTGTAATAGACTGCGGCATAAACTGTATCTGAAAAAATAGAATTCTAAACCTTTACCAGTTGTAAATTCAGAGAGGTTTGCTTTACACTACATCTGGAATAGCAGAGCAACAGGTATCTTCACATACACTCTGCCAAGTGCTTTCAGAACCCCAAAATCAAGCAGGATATATTAAGGGAAAAGTGACATTGGCCACTTATGCCCTCATTAAACATTTGGAATAAAAGTGAGGTCCAGAAGGTTACCCAAGCTTCTCACATGAAGTCCCTATTGGCACTAAAGAGAGTCCTGACAAACTGACGGAATATATGTGCCGAAACCTCTGGCTGTCTGCTCTTCAGTCTTGTTGGTAATTTATCAACTTTAGACTGCAAAAAAGTTCACTTTTAACCCCTTCAGCTCTCGTACCTTTATACCTCTTATCGACCAGAGAATCTATCACATTTCCACTATGGGCCTGTTTATTTGGTTGATAACCTAATTAAGTTAATAAAGTAATACACAGAGGGGAATTGATAAAAATGGAGCAGACAGAATGTGGAGCAGTTGCCCATAACAACCAATCAGTTTCGCTCTTCAGTTTGTTCAGTTAAGCTATAAAAATGAAAGAGAAGCCGACTGGTTGTCATGGGCAACTTCTCCAGTTTTGATAAATTCCCCCTTTTTCATTTTTACTTGGAAGGTGTTTTTTTTTAACCTGATGTTATATGCAGATCAATGGTCACACCTCTGTACTTGTCATTTTATACATGAGTGGCTACATTTTAATAGCTGCTCCTGCTATGTAATTGTTGGTAATACCGGCGAAGGGAGCGACGGCAGGGAAGAGGAGCTGAGCGTAGCAAATTAGTGCTAGAAACCTATTGGAAGTTTCTTAGGACACATTTTCTACGTTCAAAATCCTCAAATGGTATAGCCATAAAAAATAGTTTTAACAATCATGTCATAACTTTCTGAAAAATACATGCTGCTGACCAGAAAAGGAAAATAGGATATAATGTCTTTAAAAAATAAAAGAGCTACCTATGTCTAAGGTGGATACTGAAAGAACCTGCTTAACGGGACTGTTGAGGTACAAAAGGTTAGGAACCTGACATGAATGAAAGCATTACTAGCTGTGTTAGTACAATCATTACCTTTGCTGGAGCATCAGATAAAGACATTGCAGATCATGTTAAAAGGTAATAAATGAGGTTTACAAAGAGGAAAAAGACAGAATGTTAAGAAAGTGTAGCCCATATGCACATGGACAAGTAAAAGGATTTTGATGAGAGAACTGAATAAAATATCATCTGTAACATCAATGTTGCCCTGCCAACAAGACTTTCCTGTATGCTGACAAGGAGTACAGCATTGGCTTATTTTCAAAACGTGTCCCAACTGCTTATGCTGAGCAGAAATAATTGCAAGGTTTCTCAATTCCCCTGTTTGGAAGCAATTCATAAAGCAAAGCAGACATGTAACTTTATGAACCTTTCCATAGTTTGTGTGTAGTCTTTATTCTCTCAATATATTTCACTTTCAGTTTTAAATCCCCTGTAATATGGAAACAGATAACCAAATTTGGCTGCATAAGTGGTAATACATTTTAACCTTACCTCGACAATTTAAACTTTTCTCTTAGAAAAGGTTTCCTTTAAGCCTTAAAAAACTCTGGGCAGAAATAATCTTAACCCTTGTAATAGGGTTGCAAGGGTTATATGTTAGTTTTTGTCTAGGATTGAACATAAAAAAACCATATACTCACCTGAACCTCAGAGTCAGCTGGCTGTTAGACCGGTCCCTGCAGCCTCTCTCTCCTCCTCTTGGTGTCCTCGGGTCCAATACAGTGCATTGGAAGTGATGACTCACAGGATTTTAAACCACCAGAGTGGAGGGGGAAGAGAGGCTGCAGGGACTGATTCAGCATCCTGAGGTTCAGGTGAGTGTACAGTATCTTTTTTAGGTGCGGGTTGGTATACATTTTTTTTATTTTTGTAACTAGACAAAAACGATCACCTTAACTCTTGCAGTGTGGGGATAGCAAGATGGAAACCCTTGTGACCTTCAGAAATTCAACCCTCATATTGTTCTGCTGGAGACTGTTTTCCACATCCTCTGAATGCATAGTAAGAAGTTTTACTGTGCATTGTAGCTCAAAGGATATTATGGGCATGCATTCAGAGGTATCTTTAACCATAGATATGCAGGATTCAGATGTGAATAGGTGGTCCCTGATTTCGTTCAGGTTTCATTCATTGGTGGAAAAAAAATTCCAACACACAGGGCGCAAGGGGTTCTTCACAGTCAGAGCGGTTAAGGTCTGGAACTCGCTGCCGCAGGAAGTGATCTCAGCTAAGAGTGTGGAATCATTCAAGAAACTCCTGGACGAGTTCCTCTGAGACCATAATATACAGGGGTACAGGTACGCCTAAGAGCAAAATCCCACATGGACTAATACACACGCACACACCTGCTCAAACATAAATGCATACACAATAGGTTGGACTTGATGGACTTATGTCTTTATTCAACCTCAAATACTATGTAACTCGGTCCTGTCTGATTAGACTGCACTTTAAGGCCAGGGAGTCCATCTTAGTCATTATGGTGGTTTTGCTGGCTTGTATATCAGCCAGGATGGCAGCAGTGGGTGAGGGCTCAGAAAGTACCTTGCTCTGTGGGGAGGTTTGGGCTCCAGGGCATCCTCCTCAACCGCTTCACTGGTCTGTCTGGGTAGTTGAAGAGACAGCGGACTCAGACTCAGGATAGAATGACAAGATGTCAGCTGTCCATTTAGTGTAAAAATAGGATTTTGGTACTCACCGTAAAATCCTTTTCTCTCCGTTCATTGAAGGACACAGGGAACAGATCGGAGATCATGTACTGTAGAGTAATATCGCCACCTGCAGGAGAAGGACGCTAGGCACAAAAAAACTAAAGACCAATTACAGCCTAGGGGCGGCCCCTGCCGGACTTTTATCTGGCTTATCTGTCTGTGGCATCAATAAGCATCTTCTGGTCAGCATAGGAAGAACAGGACTGAGTCCCGGGTGCTTGGGGAGTTTGCTGAACAGGTTGGAGATAAAAAGAGATTGGAACCAGGATCATATTGTCGGTGAGAGCATCTTTCAGGCACCTCTGGGTGCCCCAGGCTGGCCCATAAATTATATATTTTAACCATTTTTGTTTTTCAAATAATTTTATTACTATCACAAAAGGGCAGTGCAGATTGGGAGGACAGAGAGCTGCCACAAGGGTCTGACAAACTGAACCAGGAAGTGCTCAGAGCGGAGCCTTTCTGTGGTCATGCAGACTATATAAGATAGGTACATAAAGGCAGCTGTGAAGACTGGCATTAAAGTTAATCTATTTCCTTGACCTGCCTTGGCAGAGCACAGGTTTACTTTAAGCTTAAGTATATTACAAATGTTATTGATCATGTTAAATATTATGGACAGACAAACTTGAGAACACTAGTATACATTATATATTATACAGTACTGTAATTAATTATATGCTGGCAAAAGAAATTAAACAATATCAGAGAAAAATCAAGTGGACAGATGAGAATGAGACGTAAAAAAAGAAAAGAAACAAAAATTACCTGGGTCTCCACCCCTTGCTCCAGTAAACGTTTGGCTTGGTTTTCTACTTCTAGACGAGCTCTACCAATGAACAGCAGATCATTCTCGATAACTTCTATTCCTGAGAGATCCATGCCTTGAGAAAGGTAATCTGCAATAGGGAACAGATATTTGCTATTATAACAAAGTAACACGATAAACATAACAATTAAAGCCATAGTCCATAGTGGATCAGGGGAGCAATGATCTGGTTCCTGCGGACTCTTCCTCCTATCGCTGTCCGTGCCAAGGTATGGACATTCAGTAACAGGGACGGGAGAATGAATGAATGGGTGACATCACCACAGTCATATTCCATTGAGAACTACGAATCCCTCTACCGTGGTGGACGATGGGTAGTTTCTCCATTTACAGATTGTGTCAAAGGATCTGTGAATGGATGACGTCGCTGTGCCACCATTATCAGATAATGGTCTAAAATGTAAACTTAAACTGTGAAGAACTTTTCAACATTTCTGCAAACTGTAAAGATGACATCTCTGTTTTCCCAGTTCAGCTTTGTAGCTTTTGGTGTTATCTCACAATCCTAATCATTGGACAATAAACAAGTATAATCACCTCTGTTCAATTAACAGGTAAGTGACCTAGGAAATAATAGTTATTTCCCAGCTATACAGTGTAGCAGCTCTAGGAATTTAAAGTTATATTGAAAACTACCCTTATCAACAAAAGTTGAGTTTAGCCCTGCTCCTCCCACCTCCCAACCTTATCTATTGTTTAGTGAGGCCCCCAATCACATTTAAGGACCATGAGTGAGGCTGTAGACATTGGTGAGAGTGAGACACAGCTCAAACTTACACTTCTACAATGAGGATGACTTGACTAAGTTACGATGCAGCGGCTAAAAAAAAAAATCAAAAATACTATCATATGAGCAGACAACTTTGCTATTTTGCATGCATGAAAGGAACCGCAAAGTCATGTCTAACCCAAAAGGAACATTCAAAAACATGCTATTCCTAATGAACATATTATCTGTAATAAACATCCTTATTATTTCGGTAAAAAGGTGTAATTATTAAAATGTGTTACATCACCAAGAAACGTTTAGGTATCGCTAATAATTAAATGAAAAAAAAAAAGAAATAAATATCACATTTAATTCAAAGGAAGAGATTGTATTAGATTGTATTGTATTCTTCTACTATTCACGGGAGATGGCCTCAACCAGCATTACAATGAACAGGCTGTTACACTGAATATATAAAGAAACCCAGTCATTGTATAATGACATCTAAAAACCAAATCATTTTATCTTTCACTGCTGACAGCAATACAGCCTTTTTATTTCTTAGAATTGTCAGGTACAACTCAAAGGAGTTGGTGCGATTGGTGATAAAACAACCACTTAAGGAAGCACTTATTCAGTGATGCCATTTGTCACAAAATCGATACATCAGACAAAAAAAAAGCAACAAAAAGAAATATTTATAAAAGACCCATACCTACTTCATACAGCAACAGCAACACGTTCCCTATTTTTCAGAAGGCTGAAGGTGAGTTACAAAATGGTACTTTTTTTTTTTTTTAAAGGTTAAAGATACAAATTACGTTGTTAAAGAGAAACCCCAGTAAAGAAACATATTTACAACAGAGTTGTATAATATGATGCTATATGCTCTTGGCTTAGTTTGGCTGCAAATTACTTTCTGTCCAAGTGTGTATTTTCCACAGTAAGATGGGAGTAATGTATGGAAGTACTTTTTCTGTGACTATTCCGTTGTTTAAACGTCCACATATACCAGCAGATTGTCAGGCAGGGTGCATTTAATGCTGGAGATGCAAAATGTTTGCAGGGCAGAATGGGGCAGTTCCACGAATAAAACGATATAGTGCTTTGTATTATTTGTAGTTTTAAAGACTGAGTGGGAAGAGTTGTTTGTATGCTAAAAAAGAGTTGTTGAGCACCAACGGTTAGCAACATCTCAGACTTATTATGGGGCACTTTGTAAAATGCCATACGAAAGATCTTTTATCACTTGACTTTCAGATGGCACCACTAAAAGTTGCAGTGTGCTCCATAATAAATCTATGAAAGGAGAATTAGAGGCCCTGGTTTTGTCACTGATAAAAGTATCTCTAGTACTTTACAATTGGCTGGTACATGAATAGTAAAGCTTATCTTATCTATTCAGTTAGCCTTGTGTGTGGTGGGCCAAAACCAATGCATCTGACAAAGCATTTAGAAGTGGCACAGTGAGCATTATGATTGAGGTCACTACACTTTCACCTCTATCTACAGCTCTACTTCTTCTCTTCTGTAGGCAATTACTGTAGCCAGCAAGTATAATACATGCAGGTGACCCAATGAATGTACACACACCACAGTTGCTTTGTTGACTAATATTCAAGGGTCTTAATTTTTGATGGTACCTTAAATCACATGTCTGAGGTAAACATTTATATTGATAACATGAGATTACCACATAAGTTCAACATCTGTTTAAATGTGTGGCACTAAGCCCTTTCCCCTCCTGGCACCAAACCCTCCCACTATTAAACAACTGATGCTAGAGACTCTACTGCCTACTGAGGTTAGGTGGCAGGGATGAGGCTTACCACCAAAAGGGATAAGCTTAATTTAGATTGGGACTGGAGACCATACATGCTGACTTTGGGTCACGGGAGTACATTCATAAATGTACTCCTGTGACCCAAAAGAGAACTACAGCCAAAAAAAAAAGGTTTGGCTATAGCTCTCTTTTAATAGTGCATGTCTAATGAACCCTCCAAAGATACATTTCCATGGTACCAGCTTTGCTTTCTTTATTAACAGGGTACACTTGGAATTTGTATTGATTTGATCTAAATGTCCTGATATTTGCCCTGCTCCATTACAAAGGTTCAGTGCCCAGAGTTAACATTTTGTATGAGAACACAGAACTTCGACACCATGACAATTGCATTTGCTTATGGATACTTTTTAGTAGCATAGTCTTTTCTCGATTTTTGCTCTTTGAGTCTATTCCATAAACCAGTGTTAACAGCAGAGCTTGAAATATCAAATGACAAAACAACTTCAGGATGTCTTTTAGCTTCACATTTACAGATGAAAGGAGTCCTGAAAATCCCTTGTGATACACTGAATTGTGTCAAAGAGGTTTATGTCTCTATCTGTCTGTTACGTAAGGGTATTTCTTATTCCCCTGGCAGATACCTTCCAAGCTAAGCACCAGAAAATCCTACTGAGGAAGCTGGTACATTAGGCTACTGTAAAGGCAAAGGGTTGTGCACAGATTCATCATTAAGATAAAGGAATCATCTGCTGAGCAGGCAGAAACGTCACATAGCTAACACGTTAAATCCTAACTCCAGTCTCAAACTGTGAAAAGTACAGAACTTTGGTCAGGTTTTTATTGTAGTCTACTACTCCACTGGGGAGATTTCTCATCAATTTCCTATCCCTGTGATAACAGGATAACAAAAAGGTGCAATAAGGGTCACTGTAACAGGAAAGCATAAACAGCAATGGAAACTTCACAGGAGGTCCTAACCGTTCCTTGTTGGAGAGATTTCTCTTAACTTCCAGCCTCTCTGATCCTCAATCATTACCACAGGAAATTACATTTTCTTTAGGAGGTCAACTTCTGAAATAAGTTGTGAAAGAATAATGGGCAAAGGAAAAAGGAGCCCCATTTCACCCTCAGTCTACACATAACAGGTCAGGTGCACTATCTTGTACTGCAATGGGGTGAGCTGCAAGATCATATAGAGGTAAATGTAAGTGTCACGGTCTAGGGACCGGGGCACTAGGGTATGTGAGCTCCGGGGTTTGCGGAGTTGGTAGGAGTCACAGATAGGAGGGATATTGGGGATGTTGGTCACAGGGAGAGAGGAACTTATGGTCTGTGCGTTTTCAGGACGCACTAGAGGCGCAGAATCTAAGAAGGGCCAGTTATTCGACAGAGCCTCTAGTGGTGAGGATGATTGGCTGCTGGACACCTTCCAGGTTGCGGCCCTCTAGCGCACCCACACAGACGCAAAGGACAAGTTGAAGCAGCAGGGAACTGGATAGAAACAAAGGTAGGGAAGGAACTTGCAACCAAGTGGAGGAAAATAGGAACGGTGGCAGACAATGAGAGAGAGAGAGAGAGAGAGAGAGAGAGAGAGAAAGTCACAAGCAAAGGTGCAAAACGCACAGCAAAACAGTAGAGTATACTGAAGAGGGTAGATAAGCAAGGACACCCGGGAAGCTTAGGTAGCTTAGAGGCACACCTAGGAGCAGGAAGGTGTAACATACAAAAGTAAAGAAGAGATGTGCATTGCACATGCATACAAAGAAGCAGGATAACAGAGGGAAAAGTACATAAAGAAGCACAAAGAGATATATGCACACAGGGGATGTGCAGACAAAGACTAATCCAGCACAGCCCCAAGGTAAGAGAGGTGCACAGAAGGGGTGACAGTGAAGCATAGGAGGATACACTGGAAGGTAAGTGACGGAGTTAAAGTACAACAATGCAGTAAATAGGAGGAAGCAAACAGACAAAGACTAGAGAGGGAAAACTGAGAAGTGATGCAATGAAGGCAGTATAGAGAGACTCACCGCACACAGGTGAAAGCAATTAAGGTCTGCAGCAATATACTAAATGTAACCACTGCAATACTATAGTAGGGGCGCAAGGAGCAAACCAGGGGATAACGCCAAACAGGGATACCAGCTGGTACAGGGAAGCCAAAGGCACAAACATCCAATAATAAGCGCAGGGAATAAGATCCCAAAGATAGTTAGAGCCACAAGGGGTACGGAACAAGGCATAAGACTTGTTGCTCGCACCATGAGCAACAAGTGAGGAAATCCTAAATAGGGGAGGAGGAAAGCAGATTGGCTGCAGCCTTGTGAGACATAATAGGCTGACAGCCCAGAACCAGGGAGCAAAGCAAAAATGCGGCACAGATTTCCGGATATTGTGACAGTAAGTAGGTATATTTTGAAGATGGCTAATTGTTTTATATGGGAAAGTGCTTGTGTCATATTCTAGGAGACCTTTGTTCAATTGTCTGCTATATGTTAAATACTGTATGTCAGGTCCAGTGGACATGACGCTATGACTTATTGTAAATATGTTGTTAATCAGTGTGACTGGGGGT